GTCCTGGGTGCACTTATTTACTTATAGACAGACCTCTCTATTACGGACACTTTCTTTGGTCCTAGCTACACTGACTAGATTTAGTTATGCATATACCTATGACACTTGGCTCCTTTCCTTCGGTGTCCGTACCAGGGAGAGTTGAAACTTGAACGATTGACTTCAACGTCGTTTCCCAATTGTTTGTTGAGCATTAGCAAAAAGGGTCATATAAGGCTGCGTCTCATTGTAGACCATAGGCCTTCGTTTTGGTGGAGATTATGACTTAGAATTGATGATATCAGAGGAGTTTATTCCAAAAGAGGCGCTTTCCTGCCATTTTGCTCAACATCAGCGAAGGGCGGCCTCCATTTGGGTTGAGCTTGTGTGAATACCAAACGACCTCTGGAGATGTTCTTCGAAAACAAATTTAATATATTGAACATAAGCTTTTACGATGATAGTTATGTCTAGACCCTCTAAATACTTTTTGCAACGTTTTTAGGTTGATATAATTGGTCGTGCCGCCAATTCTACACTGCTTTACATTGCACAGTCTTGTGCTATGGTTTGAATTAACTACGTCCTCATTTGATAGATGCTTTGCATCTTCTGTTTAATCCTCCAGCATAAGGCTTTTCCTATTATGGGAATAATGCCGTCAGCCATCGCTTTAAAGACTAGTCATTCTCTCAGATACAACCACCAAACTCTTTCTCTTGTCGATCCCACCAGCATCTTCATCGCAGCTAGCAGTTCGTATCTTTGCGTATGCTTTCGCGAACGAAACCCGAAACCTCTGCGACATCTGTCTTGCGAACGTGTCCTCTTCTTKTTCTTCTTTGAACGTTAGACGTTTGACCCTCCTCGATCCCTGGGTTGTTAGGTACGTGCCTTGTGAGTTCAGACTGTCGAAACTGCTCAAATGCAAAGCCTTGAGGAATGCTCTACGAAATGTTTTGTTAAAGATAACATAGAGGCATGGATTCACTGCACTGTTAGCATGCCCCAGCCAGAAGCCTCCCAAGATCAAGAAGGTGTGTAGACACTGATAGGTCTTGATGTCGAAGTAGATGTAATAGTGAAGGATGTGTAGTGGCAACCAACAGATGGCAAATGAGATCGTTACTGTAATCAACATTTGGACCACTCGTTTCTTCTTCTTCTCAATCTGCTGGTCACCTCCTTCCATTTTCTGTTTGTGTAATTTGTGACAAATAATGGAGTAAAGAATCCCCATTAAGAGAAGAGGGATTGCATAGAGGAAGACGAACAAGCAAATGGCAAAAATCACTGGAAACTCCTGCGGAAGGAAATCCGAAAATTTTGGGTAGCATCGGAACCCCCCATAAATATAATCGACCCTATATAGCCGTAAGTAAAAACCGAACATTCCAAAAGAAAGCACCCAAATTAGAACTAAAACAAGCTTCGAGGATCCAAGAGTTAGTGTTTTTTCCCAAACATAGACGATYGATATGAATCTATCTAAAGTCATGGTAATTAGAGTGAAGATGGAAGCGCCGATGGACGCAGCCAGGGAGAAGTGAACCGTTCGACAGAGGACATCACCGAACACCCCTTCGAACCAGAGATTCTTTATGAACAAGTAAGCCATAGAGTAAGGCATTGTGAAAATCGTGACGAGCAGATCTGCAATGGCCATGTTGACTATCAAGTAGTTGAGAGCATTTCGTAGACTTTGATGTCGGTATACTACGAACAGAACCAGGGAGTTGCCAAGGAGCGCTACGGGGAAGATGATGGCATACCCTATGGTTAGGACGACTTGCGTTGTGGTGTCAAAGGTCTGAATGCACCGAGGAGCCGTCATGTTAGCTGTGGAAGGAAAAATATGTTCATTAATAGTTAATTGACATGAAACCATGGTAACAATGATGCAGGATAGATAGGGCAATCGTCATGGCAACCATGGTATGAATGGACAACTGTGATAAAAATGAGAAAACGAAGATAATGTTGATGATAATCACCTTGGAAACCATGATGTTAGATGATGATGATGATGGTGATGATGATGGTGATGACGATGATGGT